TTTCACAGCCTCCTCTGGATTTTTCTTTTTTTATATTTTTGGAATATCCCGGTCTGGATTTTCTAAAAATATATTTTTTTTCTATTCAATTTTTATAGATAAAAATGGCTATTTAAAATATACAGCTCGACCTGGGTATCTTTAAAATTTTTAGGCCCGACCTGGGTATATTTTAAAAAATTAAAATTTGGCCTGACCCTTATACCTGTATCAAAATATAATTTATAATAAAGATCATTTTGAAGAATGGATCCATATCATGAGAAGATGCAAACTTATTCAAAACTCTGTGGGGAATAATTGGAGTACTTTGTGGCTTCTATTGTTAATAAACAAAACCCTTAAGAAAGGATCCTTTCCCACAATCAAATAAATATTTGCATTTTATATGATTACTAGCTGATATCCCACAAGAATGACAAGGAATTAGTATTTTCACCTTAATTTGATGATGGATAAATCAGAAATAAGTCTTGAGAAGTGAATTATATATTTACCTTATATTGATGAGAGTTAATTCCAAAATTTTAATTATTCTTATAAAATATTTTAATGATGTATATATACTTATTGTTGCATTCAATATGAACAAATATTTGAAACATGTTTGAATGTACCTTTTTTAATTATATTAATTTTCTTATTTTTTTATTATTTATATACTCAATAAAAAATTTAATCTTGTTAGATGAGGGTTTTGTATATTGTTATCATGGAAACAGATTTTGGATTTGGACTTATTAAGAATGATTTTTTTAAAATTGGCTTCGCTTCAATAAATTGAGAACAAATTATTTTAGGAAGAGCACCACAGATTGTTCCATCATCAAGATACCAAATATTTATATCCAAGTCAATTTAAGATAATCAATGATATCATGAATACCAAGGTAAAAAAAATGAGGACATGTGCCCCCTGCTATATCCTTTGTCAGAACCTATGTCATAGGCTAAATAAAGGAATTCTAATGTTATAGTATGTCTCTAGGAATTTTGAATAATCAGGAAATGATAAAAACAATTTATGAAATGTTCATGAAATTTGCTATTAAAAGAATTTTTAAAGTCTACTTTGATAATAGCCATTTTAAGAGGAGGATTTTGGATATAATACAAATGGTATCGTGAAGCTATTTTGCCTTCTCCCTTATCACCAAATCATAATTGATACGTATAAGTTAAGACCCTGGGCCCCTTGGCAATTATTTTTGCTAATAATCTTATAAATAACCCGTTGCAATGGGAATGGATACCATCACAGTATTTATGAGATAATCAGGTTTGCCCCCATAATTGATTCGAATCTATGATGGCACTCCTTTTTTTAAAAGAATATTTAGGAAGGTTTGACAAGCATTTAAATCAAAAATATCCGGTAGTGTATACTATAAATCATTATCAAAAGGGAAGATTCTATAAATATCATGAACGGTTTAAAATCCATTCTAAAAACCGAAACAATTTAAATGGAGGATTTGATAAATACTAAAAGCCGGATCAATACCAGAAATACGATAATTGGATGAAAACAAAATTCTAATTTTCGAAGAATAAAAAGAGATATACACTGGACGTATAAATTGTGGGCGTGTAGCAGTTTGTGAACATATAAATTATATAATATAAATAAAAAATAGATTTTATGAAGTGTCAATCATTTATTATATATATTTTAATTAGTTGATTTGATTTTTATATTTTAAAACAGAAGAAGTTTTTTTCTTAAAATTTAATTAAATTTTTAATTAATGTTAATTTTAAATAAATTAAAGTAAAAGAGTTTTGATTTGTTCTACCATTTGAATGTGACTTGAAATAAAGAGTTTATGATTGGCTATTTGTATTCTTTTAAATTATTTTTACAACTTATTTTTCCAAATAAATTATCTTTATATTAAATTATTCGAATGAATATTTGAAGAAAATTTTACATTGACTGTTACATTTTGAAAGGACTTTCATAATATACACATGTGTTGGAGTGACCACTCATTTGTGTAGTTATTTGTTTTATCATAAGAAATTTTTGTAAAATATTTTTTAAAAAATGTGCAGTGATGGCCTTCCACTGTGGTCCATTTTATTTACTAATAAATATCACTCCCATAGAAGGGATGTAACATATTGGGAATTACGAAAAAAAACAACAAAACCAATCGAAAAATATCAAAATGCCAACTAGGCATATGATAAAGCAAGACATGTATTAGATGTTATTCGCACACTCATCTCATTGGAGATATGTCCCATCGTTTGCATTAACCTAAAAGCCTCTGCTATCCACAGAAGGGGGAAATACCGAGTGGTTCAAGAAATTATAACGTCGTTAAACTAAGTTCGGAAAAATTCCAAAGAAGGTACGACAACAAACAGTGGCCACCGACAGTTTATCAAAGAACGGAGTTAAAGGATTTTCCAGATAATGGAACCTCAAGATATGTTGGGAATAGAAACCAGTTGAATTAGTCAATCCCGACCGACAAGGGGATGGAAGACGCCTTGCTCCAATAGTATATAAGAACATTAATGTCTAGATTTGTTAGGAATCGAATTATTTTTATGTCCATGTTAGGAGAGTTATATATATACATTAATTATAACATATAGTTCGATGACGCATTATCTTGGCCCGTTATGGGTAGGCATGTTGTAATAATAATAAAAATAATGATATATTTTTCTAATAGTATGTCAATAATAATTTTGTGTTAAAAATGAATTGAGAATATTCTTTAATGTTTAATGAGGATTTGAAAATAATTTAAAAAACAATAGTAATTTTGATTCCATACTTTGAAGATATAAGAAATTATTACTTTTATTAATAATTGGCCGAATAATAATAATTTTATGCGATTTTTAGAATTAAGATAATTACAATTGTTGAAAAAAAATATCTTATCTAAATCACCTATTTATCTGATTAGAGATAAAAATATTAACATTCCCAATCCAAAAGTAATATATGTTAATATTTTTCAATTCATTTATTTTTATTTGATTCGTTGCTTATCTATGGGAGGATCAACGCATTTTTTATAATGTAAAACAAGATTGAATATGGGCGTGGATAATTTCATGTAGTTTAATTTTTGGCTTATATCTCCAGCCATTTATTCCCTTAAGGGAATGACCCCATTAATGGACAATAAAATTGTTTATTTTTTATAAGTATACGATCATTACTAAGGAATTGTATATGATTAATGAAAATATTAAATACACTTTTTAAAGGAAGGAAAATAACATTTAAAAATTTCGACCCCAGTAATAAAATAAGCCATAATTATAAAAAAAATTAGTGGTTTTTTGAGAATTTGAACAAATAAAGAATGGATAAAAATTGTAACAGGATTCATGTGCCCAAAAAGAGCATTTACGTGGTACAAAGACCCACAAACATTTTAGTATTTATTAAATTGCATAATATAGTTTCTGCTCTTTCTTGAATATTTGTCTTGATTTTAAATCTTGCTGTTTCAATAATCTTGATTTATAACTTTTAACTGTTGTATAACCTAAGTTTGTTTGTTCCATAATGACTAGCAAGGATGAATTTTTATTAAATATATTCATGATTTCATATTTGTTGGTTGTTTCATTTTTTAAATATAATTTCTTACCATATTCAAATTTCAATAAGCCAAATAATTTCAAAAATGGCGCTCAAAAAGCTCGCATGAACCTCTGAAAAGATGTCCCAGATCCTCAATAGCTTTAAAATTTAATTTTATGATAATTTAAACATGTTTTTTGTTCAAAAAGGAATTATTTAATATAGAATAGAATTTAATCTTTTATAGTTATTGGATAATTAAAATCTTTATTATTTTTTATTTATGATACATTGCAGCATTTACAAAAGTTACTTTTGACGGTATAAATCATGAGACCTGCAGAGGTACCATTAGTACGGCCCGGCCCGGATTTTTTTTTTAAAATTTTTTTAACCCGGCCCGGCCCTGGTTATTTTTTATAAAAAATTTTCAGGCCCGACCCGGATTTTTTAAAAATATATTTTATTTATTTTTGATTTTTACAGCTAATAATGAAGATTTCAAATGTTTGGTTTAAAAATATACGCCCCGACCCGGATATTTTTTTAAAAAAAATTTCAGTCTCGGCCCGAGCAGGCCGGCCTTAGGAATATATTGTTTTATTGTGATCCGATATTCAAAAATATTATAGCGCATATGCATAATGTAATTATAAATACAGTGTTGTGTAGATTTAATTCAAAACATTTCTATATTTTTTAATTCGTTTGTAATTAATTATTTAACTAGTAAAAATTGATAAGAATAATAAATATGTTATTTTAGCAATTTTTTTGCAAGTCAAATAATTTTATTTTCAAATAAATTAAAAAATATGGAAATGTTTTCCAAATCAAATCTGATCAACACTATATTTAGTTAAAAAATTAACCATTAAAGTTAAATACTCTGGAAGAAAACTCCAAGACTAGCAAGGACCTCGGGCTCATAAAATCCCCGGTCTCCCCTAGTATTAGTTTTGGCAAAATGGACCTACCTTTTTTTTCTTATAAATTTATTTGACAAAAAAATATAACTTTTATAATTTATTGAACCGTATAAATCCTTTTACCAAATTTCCAAATGGAACATAAAATTTTAATTTCTGAAATGATTTTTAAAATGATTTTCAATTTTTTGGAATTTATACTCTTATTTATTTTTGTTGCTAATATCTATTCTACAAATTGATAACTTCTATTTTTTATGGTTAAATATTTTGTTTAGATAGACCCAAAATCAAAATTTATAAATGCAATATTAACTTATAAATATTTAATAATATTATAATAATCACATTATAAAACTTGTTTGGTGTCATTACAAATACAACTCTAGCAGAGATATATTAAACTGTATCACTAATCAATAATTAAATTTTGATAAATTCGCAACATACTCTCACGATAAATCAAATATTTTGTTCAATAGATAAAAACGACCTTCAAATAAAACTATTTTTGTTTTATAACTATTTCAAATAAGTGTATTCCAACGAATAATAATTTAAAAAATATATAGCAATTAACAAGTCAATAGTCGCAATTTATGAAATATGAAGTACATCTTGTGGATTGCCGTTCTGTACCTCTCAGGATACTTCTATAAAATTATGGCTTATCAGGTAATAAATACATTATAATTTACTCACCACATTTGTTAATAAAAACTCTCATTATTTACACCAAACATTAGCCATTGCCGACCATTGTTCCAGCCAGAAATGCCAATCCCGAGGCTGATGCAAAAGTATTGAGAGGTGCTTTGGCAGGAATGGGTAAATTTTATATTTTGGAAAAATTATAAATCATTTCACAAAAGTGGTCAAATAATATAGTACTTTTGTAGTGTTTTTTATATAACATATTTTATAAGTAATTTTTATATTTAAAAATAAGAAAGTTTAATAATACAACCAATTCGATTTGGATTACCATTATAATATGGAAATCTAACTTTATTTTTGAATATTCAATTTTAATAATAAGTTGAATTTTTTAATTCATTATAATCGAATTTAAAATTATTACTAAAATTCTTATTTAAATTTTATTGTTTAGGAACTAATATTGATACTTTGGTTGCAGTGATGAGTAGTAGAAGTAATTTGCAAAGAATTCAAGCCGCCCATGCTTACAAAGCCAATTATCGCAGAGTAATTTTTTTTTAAATATAAACTATTTTATTAATTATGGTAAAAAATCAGCTATTATAACCTTTTTCAATTTTACCGTAACCAATCCATCTTATTTTGGTAACACATGGTCAGAACTACGGCATTTAAAATAAGCAATTAGACAAAAATGTCATGGGCATCGATACCCATCGCACTTTAACCAAATAATAAAAGGAGGGAGAGGGGGAATTATAATTATTTTAAATTAATAAAACAAAACATTATATATTTTGTAGTGATGTTAAAATAACTAGTTACATTTTGGCTAAAAAATAACTGTAACTAGTTATATTTTTAAAACTGTAACTAGTTAAAATTTTTAAAACTGTAACTAGTTAAAATTTTTGAAATGTAACTGCCAAAAGTAACTAGTTACTTTTAAAGATATATCCAAATAATTAATTTTATTTTTAATATGTTGTGATAAATTAATTTTAAATTAAATTTATTTTTTAAATAAAATTTATTAATTTAAAATTTTGTGAAAATGTCTGATTGTTCCCAACAATAACACAAATACTTATATGTATGGCAGATGTGCAGGGATTATAATATTGTCAACCTCTAAAGGATACTATATTAGCTAGTATTGAAAAAAGGTAACTAAAATCAAATAATTATTTATAAATTAATAATATCATGTTATAGGTTTAATAATCTTTATGATAATGACAATATCATTGCTGCAATTCATCACCCTTTATTTAAAATTGACTGGCCTTGGATTAGGCAAGAAAGGAATAAAGCAAAAAAGGAGGAAATTTTAAATTTAATAAATACCTTAATACCTCAAAGTGAATCCCAGACGAATGAATCATGCTCAAAACCAACATCACTTGATGTAGTTGGATTTTTTGACCTAAAGCGCCAAAATATTCTGGATAATGAACTTATAGAAAACTTTATCAAATCTAATAACAACACTTTTTTTTTATATAACGATTTCCCAAAGTTAAAATTAGTGCTCCCGTAGAGCGCTTATTCAGTCTAGGTAAGCTCATTTTTGGAGATAAATGAGCACGTCTCCTAGATAATAACTTAGAAATTAATATGTTGTTAAAAGCAAATAAACATTTATTAGATTCTAATTTTTATGAAAAATAATTTTTTTTTCAATGCAAATATATATTTTTATATTCGATGTAAATATTCAATTTTGCAATATTTTTTTATATAAATAAATTATATATTATTTTAAATAACTGATTATACTTTGTTTATCCTAATTTTTTTTATATTAAATAAATGCAGTCAATAAATAAATAATGCGCATATGAAGGATGTATAAAGTAAGTAACTAGTTACTTTTGAAAATAACTGTAACTAATAACTAGTTACTTTTGTAAAAATGTAACTAGTAACTGTAACTAGTTATGTTTTTGCCAATTTAACTAGTAACTGTAACTAGTTATGTTTCAAAAGTAACTTTTAACATCACTAATATTTTGATTATATTAATCTGCACGACCCGGCCTATGGGCAAAAAATTTCGGAACGGACCCAAATATATTTCGGGTTGAGAGGAACAATTTATACTAAATATTTGGACCGGTCCTGAATTTTGCAATTTTTTTGAATTAGAATTAAGCAAATTTATGTCTTTTTTTACGGGCTGGGCAACTTGTTTAATTATTTTATATGTCGGGCTAAAAATTTAAGGTGCGGTCGAAAAATCATCATGAATCGGGCCAGGCCATGCTGATCTTTAATAAAAATTATTATTTTGGGATAGTGCAAAATTTTATAGTAACAATATAAATTGGGATATTTTTGTTAAGGTTGTGTTTGAGTGGTCCAGCATTCTCAATATCTGCTTATTAATTCGCAATAAAATTTTTAAAATTATAAACAATTATCTGTTCTTAATTTCTATTAAGAAGCCATTAATGACCTCCTATAATTGAAGGGTGATCGGACGATCGCATCGTTAAGATCTTAAAGATGTATGGAATATTTCAATTTTGTCTGAATCTTTGTTCCAGTAGTGCGCCATTTAGAGTAGGTGCATGTGAGAAGGAGGCACTAAAAAAGTTTTAGTTAAATTTTAATATATTAATCTTTTTTATTGTCCCTTAATTTCAGTTTATTTTATTGTGATTTATAATAAAGTATATTCAATTACAAATATTTATGTAATAGATACTTTTATCATCTATAGAGGATCGTTTATTGATATTTTTGTGTTTATTTAAATCCACGAATATGTAAAGATATTTTTTTTTAAATTTTTTTTCTGCAATGATGAGTATTTTATGGAATTTGTTTATCGTTTGTAAGGGGGTGGGGGTGGGGGGGGATATAAAAGATGGTAAATAATTTAAAAACAAAGTGGAAAATTTTTAAAGATATTTAATATCAGTACAGTAGCTCAGGGAGATATAGGTTTAACTATCACCGATGACCCTCGCTATCTTCTTGATATGTTTTTTATTATATTTTATGGTTCAAAACTTTGTATATGAACATGAGATAGGTTTACAGTTGTACTACAGTATTTCTATTGCTATAAATGACATCTGACTATTAAAAATTATTCCATATTGTGATTTGCGAACCCGGCAAAATTTTTGCCTAGGTTCGGTTCGGGTTCGGTTTAAGGTTAAAAATATAGGTGGGTTCAGTTCGAGTTCGGTTCAGGGAAATATTTTTGAACCCGGGTTTGGTTCCGGGTTCAGCTCGGGTTTAATAATTTTTGAATTGATAAAAAAAAATTCTATATTTAAATCATAATTAAAAAACTAGATATAAATTTGGTATAAAAATAAATTTTTTATTTTATATAGGCAAAATATAGTTAAAAATACAAAGCATAGTCATGTATAGACTTAAAATTTTTTATTTAGACGTATTTCTTTAAATTAACAATATCCAATATAATAAATTTTACTTTGACTTGTTCACTTTCATTTTGCTCTAATAAATAATCTTTGAGAATAAGTTAAAAATTAAAAATAAATGGCTCAAATGAATTTAATTGCTTATTAACAATTCAATAGGAATCTTTGAGAATAAATTTTAAAAAATTTAAAAATGGAGTAATTGAATTAAGTTGTTTAAAATTTATTAATACTTCACTTAATTGGAAATTTGAAAATATTATAAAATGTCAAGTAAATTCTTATTATTTGTATTTACAATTATACAAACATCTTATTAATTTAAACAATACACTGAACCCCGGGTTCAAATAAAATTCCCGGGTTCGGTTCCGAGTTTTGAAAATTTTATAAACGGGGTTCATCAGATTTTTTCCCCCAAAACTCGGATTTTCTTCTCCGGGGTTTATTTCGGTTCGAACCCCTGGTTATTTCAATATTCCTTAGTTCAAATCTTTACCTTCAATCTATTTTCCCCACTTTAATATTTATTTTCCCCGCTTAAATATTTTGTTACAATTTAGTCTTTTATAATCGAGCTCAATTCTCAGTTTTAAACTCTATTGCTTGATTAAGCGAGGAAAAGGGGATAAATTGTCGTTAGGTTTAGGCTAGAGTATTTTATATAAATCGAATGATTCTTTCAAAAGGAATTTTTTGTAGTTAATTTATGTTTTTCAATTTGTTTTGTTTTTCATTCTAAATTTAGAAATCGGTTCTTAATTTCTTCTCCTAAAGAATCAAATAATTTTTCGAAAAATAAATTACAGGATTTGTTACAGCACATTAAAAGTGATACTAACCGTAAATTCGAAAAAATGATGGTGGCGCTATTAACTCCGGCCGCTGAATATGACGCTGAACTCGTGCGGGAATCCGTCAAAGTAATTACGAGAATAAATCAATTAATATGGAACCTTTATTATATTAAACTTCTATTGGAAATTGAATAACCTTTTTATAATAAAGGAAAATGTTAAAATATTGCTCAAATCAGTGACTTCGTTAGGGGGGCCCATTTGGGCTCGAGCTCTCTAACTTTAGAAAGGCCTATATAAATATGCAGTTTTTTTTAGATGTGGATTACCTTTTTTTGTAGCTAATTTTGAAATAAAAGATTTTTTTTTAAAGTGTGCCCCTCACGTTGAAAAAGCTAGTCAAGTCACTGGCTCAAATCAGTAGAGCAAATAAGGGCCATAGGTTTTGAACCCTTAATTTATCACCCACCCTTCATCTTAATTTTATAAATGATAAATTAGAGATTTTAGAAATAAAATTTATCAATAATCTATATATATATAATTTCCTAGTGGTGTAAACTAATTTTATATGAGGTATTTTTATGAAAAATAGTAAACATTTATGGTAACAAATGTGTTTTTGACTTTAAATTTAAAATAAGGAATTTACTATTAAAAACTTGATTTTATATTAAAAATTTTAATTTTTTATTATTTATGCATCAAATTTGATAAATATTTTTTTTTGTTTTTTCCCCCCGTTAATATAATATTTATTAAATTTTGAAAAATATATTAAAAAGTAGCATAATATAAAAAACTATATTAGAATAACATGTAAATAATTTTTTCATTGAGATCCGAGGAAACTTTGATAGTTGCCTCGGAACACGGCGATTTGAGTTGATTGTAACATTTAAAAGAGGATTCGTGATCACAATTAATTTGAGAAAATTGTTTATCTAAAATCATAGTCTAGGGATCCATTGGTAGAAATAACTATTGAAGTGAAAATCAGAAAATTCGGGTTTCTAATTTTTTGACCTTTCGGCTGTAATAATCGTATCAATCTTTGGGTTAAAAGAGAATTGGGGGACACAAGTGAAATCCCAAATAAGGTGTTTTCCTCTAAACCAAGGAATGTTTATGAATCCAGTATCGTTAAAACTTTTGGAAAGTTGATTAGTATAAAGGTTATTCAATAATCAGGACAGACTCCATCTTACCAAACTTTGGTTTTGATAGGGAGAAGAATCTTAAAGCGGAGGGTAGCATTAAAAAATTAATTTCTATACCATCTTGATTAATTAGTTTTCCTTTAATTGGAGGTGCCAAAGAAATGTTAAATAACTAGATAGTGAGTGGTAAGTAGGCAACTCTGGGTAGTGAGAGGTATGCGTAACGGAGGATAGTAAGTGGGAGGCTTAAGTTCTCAATTGCTCGTTAGGATCTGTGATCGCTTTACCTTAGAAATATGGTTTAATAATTTAAACATTCGCATTAAACAAAATTTGAATCTCTTAGGCCTTCCTAAGAAAAGCGCATTTATCCCGTCTTAATCTGTAGTGTTTTTTAGGAGGGTATAATGATCCTGATTTATGATCTGAGTTGAAAGAGACTTGGTGCAGCATCTTAATCCATCTATTCGTTGCTTCCCGCCTAAATTCTAATTTATATTTGGCTTCAGAGCTTAAGGAACTGTGAATTTTCATTGCTAATTGTTTGGCTATTAATAGTCCTTCACGTAAATTTATTTACATAATCAAACAAGGTAACAGAAGTTCTTTCGTTTTAGGGCTATAGCGTTCAAAGAGAAAAGATTATCTTAAGATTCCTGGCGAAGGACGGGGAGTTTACTAGGTTTTCATTTAGACGGGATATTTGTAGGTGGGAAACAACTCCTGAATATGTGTCGAGGGATCTAGACCTTCTGATCAAAATACCTCCTTCGAACACTCGGATCCTAGAGAATGTTTTACTTAAGTATATCGCATAACGCCTTGCCTCAAAAGATATCATTATATAATATAAACCTACAATCGGATGGATGGATAACAACATTAGGTGCTGCACCAAGTCTACAACTCGGATCATAAAATTATCATTTTCTATTTAAATTCAAAAGTTTAGTACAAAATGAAAAAGAGAAACGGTAATAAAAGTGTGAAGTGATTCAAGCCAAATATTGACTCACTGAATATCAAAATACTAAAAATCAATACATATAACAAGTTGAGATAATATCCAAATATAAACAATCAAGAGGTCATGAACATAAACAGACTTTGGAATACCAGTAACATTTTGGTAAATTCGGCTTTAATTTCCTTGCCAATGAGAGATAGATATACCGTTTGAACGGTGGAATCTAAGAATCTAATTGCCTGCCTCGTTGGTAGAGGAAATTACAAACGTAACAGGGTCAAATATACCCTCCTGGAAATTAGTCACCGATTAAAATAAAATAAGATAAACATGCCTTCCTTCAGAAGAGGGCCTCAGAGATCCAAATTTCGTTTAATAGGAATGACTAGAGCCTTTAAATTATTAAAATCTATTACTTCCTTTGATTATTTTTATTAATAAAACACAGATCCTAGCGAGCAATTGAGAACTTGGACTTCCCACTACCCCAATATATTTAACCCTGATAATGAATATATTCAATACGTGAATGACATTTCTTCTGTCATGACCTTATCTAATACCTCTCACTATCCACAGTTATTTAACACTTCCTCGGATACGTATACTACCTCCAAAATAAGGGGAACTAATCAATATAATAAAGAAGTTGAAATGTTATAGGATCTATGGTCAAGATAGTATCTTTTTATAAGGCCGACTCTTCACTTTGCTCTGAGATTCTTCGTCCTATTACGGCCAAAGTTTGACAAGATGGAGTCTATCCTTACGATTAGTTTACCTTTTGCAATTTGCAAAATTATTTACGCATATATTACTGAATAAATTATAACACTTATTTGGATTCTATCGTCACGCTCAGTAAGAGGCATAACTTAATTAGTTAGTAAATTGTAATTTTTTTAAAATTAACAAATGAGATCTGCACACACCCTTCCTGACAAATTTTTCAAAATATTTTTTTGGTATATTTATTCCGGTCAGGATAGTCCAGAATCTCATATATTAGAATTAGGTAAATTTATGTATTTTTCCTTTATAAGAAATTATTATGTGGTTGGACTACTTATACAAATTATTTTACAGACGGGACCAAAAAACCTTAGGTGGGACGGACCGTAGAGATCTATACATATATTATAACTTATTAACATTAAAGCTTGCGAGAAAAAAATTAGTTCAAATATAGGTTGTCTAAAACTTTTACAAAATATTAATATACTCTATCGGTACTTTTTCATTTTTCTAGATGTGCCAAAAAAAGTACATTAAAAGTTTTTATTTTATTATAGAATAAATTTAATATTTTATTTTCTAAATTATATATATTTTTTGTATAATTACCAACAATAATTATATACGATTTACAAATTTTTATAAATTTAAGTCTTGAAAAGCTTCTTTCCCCATAGACAACTTATAGAAATATGTTATTCTAGTTTTTGAGCCCCTAAAAATAGAAAATTTCCCTCAAACCTGGGCCAATGTTCATAATACCCGTACTATGACCGTTCCCACTCACACTTCTATTCTTAATTTCTTTTTATATCCGCAATATATATAAAACGATAACTCTTACCATCTAAATTATATCAAATTTAAAGTATTGTAAACATTTCTTATAGGGTTTAGGCACGGATTTGGATACATTATTCGAAGTCCTATTTACGAGATCTCCAAGACAAATCAAAATGATGGGAGCCGCCTATAATAGAAGTTTTTTTTTATTTTTGGTTTAAATATATGTTTTCAGAGTTTGGAACTTGAACTTTAAAACGGTGGTTCTGGTCCTGGCTCCAAAGTTTTTAAGAAGGGTTTTAAATTTAGATTCTTATATTATTTTTGCGATTCCAAGGTCCTGGTGTTGGATGTTAGACTTTGTCAATAAATAAACAATTATAAAAATTTCAAATTTTTTTACAATAAACCAACTCTAAAAAGAATTGCACTGAACAGTGGTTTAAATTATATGCACTTTTGTTTAAGCCCATTCCGACTCTAAATATTTTTAAAAAGATGATCTTGGACTATTCCTAAAGATTTTTAAATAAGGGTCTGGCCCAGGGCCATAGCCATAAGCCCCCCGGGAGAGGGGGGTGCAGCCCCCTCCCAAAAAAATTATAGGCTTCTAAACTTGGTCCCATGAAAAAAGGGCTCCAAATTTAAAAAAAATTATTTAGTTATTAAATTTTAATTCACCATTAACAAAAATCTAAATGAAAATACAACAAAATTTTGACAAAGAGATTATTTACTTAATTTATACAAATTAATAAACAAGTTTATTATTCATTATATTTTTTGTGGAGAAATCCAAGAAATTTAATAGTGATCATTAATTTACAATGCTTTTTGCTGAAAGCACATTACTAATTGTATTTTAAAGCAACAATGAATTTAATATTAATTCATCTAATATAATAAGCCAGGCATATGATGGTGCAGTTATGTCTGGGCGAAATGAAAGAATACTAACCCTGCTTTAAAAAAATTAATTAAAAAGTGCCTTATATACATTGCTAAAGCCACAAGTAGCATATAGTGGTTCAAATTAATATAATAATGTTATCATTTCTAATTTTTTTAAAATTTATTAATATTTTTAGTCGTTTTAACGTGTCTTAAATATACAGGCCATACTCTTAAGAGACTTTTAGACCAGAGTTGAATTGGTCAATTTAAAAGAATTTTAAGGCTATATTTTTTTACTTTTCTAATAGAACTCTTAACTCAGAGGTTTCCACTCATGATTCAGCCGAAGCCTCTGATCTTTTATCTCAATGCATTAATATAAATTAATTATATTGGTCATTTTAATTTCCTCAAAAATCTTCAAAGCCATAATCCAAATTGCTTTTTAATTGTGAAAAGGATTTCAATTAGAACCCTTAAAAAGGAATTATTATAAAATTATGATTACATTGTAGATCAATTTTTAGATAGATTTACACAAGATGATTATAATCTTCTATCATTTTTAATATACATTGTTCCCTCTTTACTCTAATTACTTTATATCAAAAACGAACCCATTAAAATCATTATCAAACTTAAATATGAAAACCTTGCATCATTAAATGAAAATAGCAAAAGGATTATTAGCTGCAGAAGTTAAAGAAACATAATTTTGAAAATATCTTTAATATTATGTATAAAAAAATATCATCTTGCATTTAAAGAATTGTATAATTGCTACTAGCAGCTATCATTATGACAACAGCTTTTTGTGAGGCCTCATTCTCTACACTAAAGAGAGTTCTATCGAGCACTAGAGAATCTATGAAAGATCGAAAATTTATTATTAAAGGCTTATGGAAAATAATTAGAATTTAGCTTTTAAATCATTTATGTTAAAATTAAAAATATCAAAAAATTCCTATGAGTGACTAAATATTTGTTTTATTTCAAATAAATATTGCCCCCTCCCCCTGAGTAAACCGTTGGCCTTGCAGCTGGGAATTCCTGGCTATGGCCCTTGTCTGGTCCCTCCTCTTAGATTTCACGCGGTTCAGATGGTTCCAGATTCTAGTTTTACACTCTGAATAAACAATAAAAATTATAATATTAAACACTTTAAATAAATCTTCCTAAATATATCACAGCATTTTAAACATTATATATAAATTAGTTAATTGCACTTTTGTTATAACCGTTTCCTATGAATTTTAAAATGGGTTACGGTTCATAGATTTGTCTAGGCTCCAAGTGTCCCGATACTAGTTTCAAGTAATCTAGATATATTCAAGAGTGAATCATTTTTTTTAAATGATAAAAACCTTAATTTACAACATAAAACAATAATATAGGAAAAGAAAAATATATAATTGAAAATCAAAGAAAGGGAATGAGAAGAATGTGGAGGAGAGTATAAGATGTCTGTGATTAAAAATTGCGAAATTATATAATGGGGATAAAGCTAAGATAGTCAGCCGGGCGGAAGCCCTCGTAATTAAAAATTAAATCAGTGTGTCTATGATCTATTCCATCGGGATAGCAAGGCTTGATAATAAATTTAGAAAGTATATACATTTATGTGTTATATAAATAAAATAAGAATTTAAAAGAAACTTGATACAAGATATCAAAGGCGATACTAGTGGAAAAGTAGAAGATTTGCTAGTTGAAGTAGCCAAGGTATAAAAACAATTTAAATTTTTTTTTATCAATACTTAATTATTTTGAAAAATAAATAAATAAATCTTAAGGGTGATAGAGATGAGTCCAATCGTATAGATCCTTTAGCAGCCGAAAATGTTGCCAAGGTTAAAAAATTAAATTAATGAAACACTTTGACTAGCGATTATATATAGGCGTGTGTGTATGGGTGTGGGGAGGGGGGGGGGGGGGAGGGGTGTTATATACTAAAACAATTTTTAATCATTTTATATTTTGTTTTATTGGGGCTATTATTAATTTGGTCAATTTATTGCCACATAGTAAAAGTAATCGGTTTTGAAAGTTTTATAGACTCGTATCGCTATAATCGGTTAAATCTAGAATGGGTTTAGGACCTGAATCGCATGCTGAAAAAAAATTAAATTTAAGCCTTGGCCATGAGTTTAATTTTTTTTCGGCTTTCCTTGAGATTAAATTATACTTTTGGCTAAAACTTTAAAGCTGAGGCTATACACTATATCCGCTTAGAATGGAGCATTTGATTAACCGACGGCTAAATTTAATTTTATGCCTAAAATATTTTCAATTAAAAGGGTTTAAATGCCATTTTAGATTAGGAATATAGTACTCTTATTATCTTAACACTATGTAGTCTCATTGGCGTATGCAGATGCCGGATATTTCAAAAATATTATTGTTTATATTCATTTATATTTGTTAATATTTATTCGTATCTCATATGAAATATATATTTTATTACATTTATTATCACATTCATAAGTTATTTTATCAATTAATTTCAATTTCAAGTTTTCCGGCGTAATATTTACTTATTATTTTCAAATTTTTAGTGGCGTAAATCTACCATTTTCAAATTTCTAGTCAAATAATAATTATTTCTGAAACTTCCGGTCCAACAGGGAAAAAGAAATTGCAACCTTGTCCAATGAGATAGAGCCTCTTCCATCAAGCACTAACAGCTATTAAGGAGTTAGAAGAGCCAATTATATGCTATTACTGAAATATCACAATGGCCTGAAAGAAATATTTCGTCAAAAGCAAGAAAATTATTGGATTCAATGCTTATTCCAAATTTTATTTCTCATTAGAATGTATTATTTAATTATACAACTAAAGTATTACTTTTCAAAAACATCACATTGATTTGATTAAGAAGATGAGAATAGCGGAGAGCATTTATCAGAACTCAAGGAAATTAAGGTTAATGTTGATGAAGAATTTCATATTTTATTGTTAAGTCAAAAGCAGAGCTATACGTGTTTAATATTTGTCTCCCTCGACTTGTAGCAAGGCAAGCTCATCGTTAAAACATTAATATAGGATCAGTAGAAGAGTACATTTATAACCCAAATAAATGAATTTTTAATTCATCATGCAGCACTTACATATGCAAATATTACTTTCACAAAAGCCTTCCTAACCTTTTTCAGATGGTGATAGAAAATATTTGTTAGATTTTTATTATGAAGATGTTAAAGTATCTTATGATGCCTTACTAGCTGAATAACTATGTTTATAAGATTAACTATAGTTGACATAGTCCCAAAAAATGCTATGGATGCTCTGCATTATTTCAAACACATTTTAGATTAAATTCCCAATGTATTAAAAGGGTTTATAAACTCTTCCCATTAGTAAACTAATGAGAGAACACTCTCTTTTTTAAGAAGAATAACAGAGGCCTGCAGAAGTACCATTTGCATGGCACGGCCCTTATTTTTTTTAAAGATTTTTTACGGCCCGGCCTGGGTTTTTTTTTAAAAATTTTTAGGCCCGGCCCAGCTTTTTTGAAAAAATTTTTTAGGCCCGGCTCGGCTTTTTTTTTAAATTTTCAGGCACGGCGCGGCTTTTTTTAAATAAAATTTTCAGGCCCGGCCCGGATTTTTTAAAAATAAATTATATTTATTTTTGATTTTTATAGCTAATAATAACGATTTCAAATATAGGCTGTTTTAAAAAATACAGCCCGGCCTGGGTGTTTTTTTAAAAATAATTAAGGCCCGGCTTGGGTGTTTTTTTTTAAAATTCAGGTCCGGCCCTGGTGTTTTTTAAAAAAAAATTCTGGCCCGGCCCGGGTATATTTACGGGCCTGCAGGTCTCTGAAAAACATACCAAGAAGTACAACATGTGTAAGTAGATTGAAAGGTTTGGATCTTTTGAATATTCATAGGCATTTGACGACAAGCAAGGATGAGATAATTGAAAAATTAGCTTAATCCCAACGAAGACTGGATTTTACATTGTCAATATATAACATACAAAATACAATTATTCCTAAGAAACTTTTTGTGTAAAGGCTCAAAAAATTCAAATTTCTATTTTGGGTCATTTAAGTGATTCTTTACATATAATTTTTTTATAATTCACATTAATTTAAAATTGTGTATTAGGAATAGTTATTAGTCCTAATAAATTTTTGCTTGATATTTTTAAAAAACAAAAATATTTCTTAAAAAAATTTATTCTCCCCCCCCCCCCCCCAGACCAAATTTTTAAGTACGCGCCTGTGTAGTCTTAATTACGACACCAAATGCCATTCTTGTTTATTATAAAAATTTTAAATTTTTTTCTATTTTAAATTAATTTAAATTTCTGACGGAAGAAGAATTTTACTATAAGTTTATAGATACAGATAGCGATAGTGTTTTATAAAGGAACAAAAACATTTTTTTAACATTATAAAGAAATCTATATTAATATTTTTATTTTAAAAATAAAAAAAACAGTTTTAAAATAAAATTTTTTCCATTTTTTTCTATTCTAATCGGATTATATATTATATTTTATATAATAAATTATATGATTAAGAAACCGAAACAGCCATTTAACCTAACTTCTCTTTTATCAATAATTTTTGCTTTAGTTAAAAAATAATATACAAATGACAAAGTTGATGGGTATTGTTAAATTAAATTCTTATATTTCTGCTTTGTAATAAAAGTTGAATAGATCATATTACAGTGAAACGATACACATGTTTAAATATACTATAAAAGGGGGTAAACAAAATAAGATTTTATTTTTAATAGAATAAAGATTGAAATTAAATATGGACAAGCAATTAATTAAGAAGATTAATATAGTTGTAATCATTATAAAAAAATGTGTTACAGTGAAACGATACACATGTTTAAATATACTATAAAAGGGGGTAAACAAAATAAGATTTTATTTTTAATAGAATAAAGATTGAAATTAAATATGGACAAGCAATTAATTAAGAAGATTAATAGTTGATTAATCATTATAAAAAAAATGTGTAATTTATGATGAAAAATGAATTTTTTTTTTATTTTCTTTGAGAATGCTCAAGTAAGATATTTGATTAAATTTCATTTAAAATTCTAAATCATTTTTTGTAAAAAGTCTTTTTAATATTTTAGAATTTCTTAAATGTAATCTATTTTGTATATCCATTTATTTCGATAAAAATATGATAACACTATAAACTTTTATAATAATTTCGATAAAATAATTAATACATAAAAAATATAATTATAATTTATCAAAATATTCTATTGTTCCATTGATGTTGGTACCTTTTTAGAAATTAAAAGAGTTAATATTATAATTATTAATACAAATCGATTATAAAGATTACCTAATTAATCAGTTGCCCGCGATAACCCAACTCCAAATAGCTTTGCATGTGATTGTAAAAGTTAGTGAAATCATAAGGAATAAATCCGTGTAAGAGTTGAATAATATTCCTAACAATTTCATCTCTTGAATTAGGGCGGGGATTGATTGCTCTAAATTTATTTTTCAAAACTCCAAAAAAATTTTCAATGGGATTTAACTGAGGTGAATAAGGTGGTAGGTATTCAATCCTACCTTTATAAGAATCGATAAGATGGCTTCTATGGATAGATGCATTATCCATTACAATGATTGCATCTGGTGGTAGGATACTATAATAAGCTCCGTCATAGAATCACGGAATAATAGCCCATTATAAGCTCCGTCTATTATTTTATAATGAATTACCCCTCCAATTCCGATTGTACAAAGGATACTTACATTTTTGCCCTTAGAGGATGGGATTTTTATTATTGGACGGACATTGTATGGCGCCCAGGCGTAGATTGGTACAACATGCAAGTTTATTCCAGTCTCATCTAAGAAATATAAATTTTCTCTTGGGATATTTAAGATCTTTGCACAATAAATTTGACGAATATTAATAGCCCCGGGAGTATTTCTTCTATCAGGCTCCTTGCCAGCCCTTTTTTTAGACCAACCAATATTTTTAATATATTTACTAATTGTGGTTTTTGTTTTTGGACTACCAGGAGGTAACTTTTCTATTATCTCCTGAATAGTCAAAGTGTTATTATCCATTAATAGGCTTATGATACTTCTTTCAATAATGGAAGAATCTTTCTTTTTACTTCCTCTTTTTTGAATATTATATTCCTTTAAAAGGATCTCCATTTATTTCTGGGAATGTATCCCGTCTAAATTTGTGAACAGATGCAGTAGACATTTCGACATATTTTGCTCTTTTATTTTCATTTGTTGTTTTTCCGGCATTGATAACATTTTGGTAACTATATCTAATTTTTCTTTATTCCAATATTTGTGTATTCTTTTTGGTCTTTGAATTCTCGACGAAGATTGGGAGTTTTCATTTAAATTGGAAAAATTAGTATTACTATTGGATAATAAAGATTCTATATTAAACATTTTTTTTTATTATTTAAGAAAAATTAAAAATAATTAATATGTAAGTATTTTAATTTTTTATTTTGAATTAAATTTTAACACATTTTTTTTATAATGATTAATCAACTATTAATCTTCTTAATTAATTGCTTGTCCATATTTAATTTCAATCTTTATTCTATTAAAAATAAAATCTTATTTTGTTTACCCCCTTTTATAGTATATTTAAACATGTGTATCGTTTCACTGTAAAATTTAATTCAAAAATAAAAAATTAAAATACTTACATATTAGTAATTATTTTTAATTTTTCTTAAATAATAAAAAAAAATGTTTAATATAGAATCTTTATTATCAAATAGTAATACTAATTTTTCCAATTTAAATGAAAACTCCCAATTATTCATCAAATTTATTGTGCAAAGATCTTAAATATCCCAAGAGAAAATTTATATTTCTT